ATTGGGCTTCGATGAGGCCATGGCCAGACGGCATTAACGGTAAGAAGGTAAGAAGGTGTGTATGCTTGCTTGGCTTCCCCACTGTGAGCTGCTGGCATGCTGGCCAGATACTAGGGCCACACTCTCAGACTCCTCAGCCTTCAGCCTTCAGAACCACCACTGCGCAAATCTGTAATTTCCCCCACTTTTTTGTATGTGTGTACACATGTTCACATGCAGGTGGCTGCATGTGTGTGCTGTTCACATGCACATGTGTGCAGAGGGCCAGAGGACACCTTTGGTGGCTGTTCCTCAAGAATGTCATTTACTTTTTGAGTTGGGGTTTCTCATTGAACCTGGGATTCGCCAATGGGGCTAGGCATGGTGGCCACCAAGTCCCAAGCATCCTCCGGTCTCTACTTTCCCAGTGGTGGGATTTCAAGTGTTCACCAGGGCACCTAGCTTTTTTAAAATGTAGATTCTGGGGATTGATCTCAGGTCCTTATACTTGCATGGCATGCACTTTACTAATTGAACCCCCAAACCCCGTTCTTTGTAAATTACTCTTTCTTAGATATTTTGTTACAGCAGCAGACAACATACAAAGACACCAATAATGGGTAAATAAGTGACTTGGTAGGGAGAAAACAAGCCTCCTCCTGGGGAGCAATGAATAACTTTAGGAGGTGGCCTTGGTCAAATATCCTCTGTCACATGGTTGGCAAGGCCTAAGCTTCTGGTTTCCTAGCACTTACCATCCCCGATTGAGTTGGGTTACACCCTGCTTCTCAAAAATGTGTGTTCTTCCTCTTCCTAGGCTTCTGCTGAAGCTCTGCCATTCTCCAGCATGCTTCTTCTCCCTAATCTTCTCATATACCCACTTGTGTGGCTCAGGGTCAACCCTCAAATGCCTACAGAGTTCAGACAGTTTCCCTGACTTCATTGGTGGGTAGGATGGGAATCTGTGATGAGGGCCTGGGTCTACCAGATATCCCTTCTCTACTATTAAAACAACCTCTCAACTTTTCAGTGTTGCTTGCTTGAGATGCTTCTCATTTATGACTGGGTTATGCCCAGACAAGCTCATTACAAGTGGTATCTAGCATTAGCTATAGATGCATTTTATCTCCCTAATTTATAGTGCATACCACCCAGTAAAGTATTGGTTGTCTTCCCTTGAGTTTATGGGACTAACTGGGAGCTGAGGCTCTGCCCAGCACCACAAATTTCATAGTGTGTATATTGCTAGGCTGAGAGAAGATCAAAATTTCAAATTCCAAGTCTGGCTGTAGGTGCAGGGTGGGGATGGGGGTGGAGGGGGTGGGGGGTGGAGTGGGGGTGGGGGTGTGTGGCTAAAACTGTATTGCCAGCATATGAGAAGCTGAGGTAGGAAGATCTCCAGCACTTTAAGGCCAGTCTTGGCTACAAAGTGAGTTCCAGGCCAGTCTGGGCTACATAGCAAGACTCCATCTTAGAACTAAACAAAACATAACCCGCCAAACTCCTGCACGGTTTCTACTGAATGCATGATCATGTTCACATTGGCCCAATGTTAAAAATTACAAGTTAAACAAGCCTGAGACTTATTTAATATTTTTAAAGGCCTAGCCAGGTAGAGCAAGGCTGTCAGCTGTTCAACTCTCCATCAACCTATTTCTCCTTTGAAATATTCTGGTCCTCTACCCCACCTCTCTATAGTCAGCTCTGCTGCTCGCACACAAGGACCGTGCCCCTCTTGGCAGTTCTAGTTGCTTGATGCAGTGGCAAACACTTGTTAACTTAACCACTCAAAAAGGCACATGGAGTAGCCTTTGCAGATTTCACAGCACTTGGCTTTGGCTTCTAATTCCAGAACATTCTGGAGCAAGTCACTTACCCTTTCCAACCCTCGCTATCCAACCTGTGAAATGGGGATTAAGGCAACTGTCAGCCCACTCATTTGTGAGAAGGCACTGGGATCATATATGTGAAAGCGTTTTGCAAACTGTGGAGCTCTGGGAAGTGCCATTAACATCCCATCTTCCTTTGTTCCCAGTTTGCTAGTTTCATGCTTCTGAGAGGTAGTGGCTGGCTCCTGATGGTCCTGAGGGTGTTCCGGGATTTTGATAAAATATGTGTGGGTTAGTTGGTAGAATGCATTTATAGCACCGTATCTACCTCCTTCAATGGAGGATTTACATAGACTCCAACAGGACCAAGTGCAGTGAAATAATAACATAATGTCTTTGACAGTGACAAGTAACCTTGACAGAGCTCCTACTGCATGCTTGACACCTTGCTAAGAGCTTTTTGATCGCTCCCTCATGTAATCTTCACAGTAAGTCCTCAAGAACGGTACAGTTGTTGCCCTTACTGTATAGATGAGGACTTAAGCTGTGTAGCCAGTGACAGGTTTGCATAGGGAGCAGGGAAGTTGAGGACATGATGAGCCAGAAGCTATAGGCCATCAGAGATCTCACAAGGGTCTCAGGCAAGCTACAAGCATGCAGGGACACATATGCATTACCATTAGGTACCAGGCCTAGGAGAACATGGCTTTGATTTAGATCAATCCTTACAAGAACCTTGGGAGGAAAGTGTCTTAGTATCTTTTCCTGTTGCAGTGATCAAATATCCTGGCAAAGGCAATATAAGAGAGAAAGGGGTTGTTTTGGTTCACAATTCAAGGCACAGTTCATCATGGTGGGGGAGTCAAGGCAGAAGTTGGTCACATCACAGCCACAGTCAGGAAACAGAGAGGGATGGATGCATGCTCGAGGCTGCTCAGCACCTTCTCTCTACTTATATACAATCCAGGATCCAGCCAGGGAACAGCACTGCCCATAGTGGACAGGTCTTCCCATCACAATGAACTCCGTCAGGATAACCTCTCACCAGTTTGCCCCAAGGCCCATTTCCCAAGTGTTCCTACACTGCCAAGTTGACAGTCAACCCTACCAGCGTCCTCATGTTCATTTTACATGGGAGGGGAGCAGCAACCATAGAGATCCAATGCCTCTGCCAGGCCACGCAGCTAGGGAACGAGAGGCTGGCTTGGGGCTCAGACCCTCCCGTCCATCTGACCCTATCTATGGTCAGCAGTAGGGCTCCCAAGACTTCTTCCAGACAAACAGAAAAACGATGCTTCCCATAACAGTGCCGGCTGTTCTCCACGAGCCTGGCAGTGGGAAGGTGCCTGTGAAGGCCTTCGGTGCCTCTGCCACCTGCACCCACCTGGCTCAGGGATACCGCACTGGCTTGAGATGCCCAGGGCTGGGTACTCACAGGCCCTCCCTGTAAACTTCAAGACAACAAAGACTTACAGTACCTATCTTGGCCTTCCCTGCCCCCTCCCTATTTTCTCCCCAAAGAAAAATGAAAGAATCTGATAATTACTTCTATCTACCACCCAACTGTACTAATTACCAACCTATTTCTTCACAGTGTGACAGACACCAGCTCTGGAAAACACATAGAGATAAATTAGCACTAATTGGTTTTCCTCTGGCTGTTTGAATTAGTATTTAAAGCTCCAATTACAAAGCAGAATAATTGCTATTAATGTCCTATCGCAGTACAAAAGGCAGTTCTCTCGAGAACCAGCCCAGGTGTATGATTACTCTGATTACAGCATATTTAACCTGGCTCGTTAAGAGGGAGAGGAGCAGACGGTTTCAATATGGCCGACAGGCCACTTCCTGCAGGGCTATGGCTGGAGGGAAGAAAAGGCAAGCAGAGAAGGTGGCAGGGTGCAGGAGCTCGAGCCTGCCTGTTCCTCAGCAAAGGCCTGCTTGCAGAGACCTGCAAGGATGTCCGAGAGCATGGTGCATGGGGTGGGGCGTGTGTAGGGTGGACCCCACATTACTGCCAGATTTGATGCCAGCCGGTAACTGGGCCTTCACCCGTGCCACCACCTTCTTGATGGGGGTCTCAGTTGACATGAGCTTCAGGACACGAGCCTGGGCCTCACGCTACCTCCTTTGCCTACCTTCATCCCCACACACCGCTTCGTTCTTGTGCCTCTTGTTTCTCTACCAGGGACCTTCCCCTCTCTGACCAGAGATGGATATTCGGAGAGAAGGAGGAAGGGTGTTCTCTGGGTGTATTCTGATGGCTCTGCGGAGGGGAGCCCAGGGGAGCCCTGGCTTTCCAGCTCCTTGGCTAGATGACAAGCCCTCCAACTTCAAGCGTCAGTTTCCTCATCTATAAAAGGTGGACCACGGCCTCCCTCACCTGTGAGGGTCAGATGAGGAGAGATGTGAGAACAGCACTTGTGAATCCCAGCACACTGCATCAATAACGTTGGGTTTCTCTGCTCGCTGTGTAACAGCCATGACTGGGGCTGGACCTGCCTCTTCTCCCTTCGGTCTCCTCTTCCTTTCCAATAAACTTCCTTCCTCCTTTTGGCCTCTTTCTCAGTTTCCACTTCCTCCCTTCCTCTGGGCTGCCTCCCAGATCTGTCTCCCCATTCACACTGGGATGCTAACATCTCAATGAGTTTTCCTTTCCCCAAAGCAGTTGCATTTGAGAAGGGAGGGCTATGTTTAACCCAAAGAAGTGAGTCACTAATGGTGAACTTTCAGGCAAACTGAGATGATATTTTGTGGGGGAGCCAGGATGTCACAGCGCTCTTCAGAGCCCCCTAGGCAGCTGTCTACTCGCTGACACACACCGGTTTTGGCGCGGGCCTGTGCCAGGCTGAGTCTGAGCCAGGGAGAGGAGAAAGAGGCCCGTGGGGACAAGACAGCAAGATAGGAAGCCCTCTGCAGGCACTTCGGCTGCAGAGCCCTCTGTGACTGCTGACCTGGATGTTGAGGTCACATGAGGCTAGGTGGTGGTGGGGCCCCATTCTGGAAATGATGCAGGGAGGGGCATCCCTCATCCATTTGTTCCCACTAAAGTGTTCAGTTGTTTTTCTGGACTGGGTGGCCCTGGGGCTGTCCTAGAAGCTCAGTCTATCTCAGGACTGCCTCCTTTGTCTCCCATAGACCTCCTTCCTTGCTGTCACATGGGAAACAGGACGCTTTGAATTCCCTCTACAGGTCTACTCCAGGCCCTTGACCTTCAGAGTCTCCCCAGCTCGTGTCTGCTTTCCTCCACAAGTCCCCTGACTTCGGTCCTGTCTGTTTCTCCCTCCTGCATTCTGGAAGGGACCCGTCATATAGCAAAGGGATCATAGCACCCTCGGGGCAGTGGCCAAGGCTCAGCCCAGCTCTACATCAGGTTAGCCATACAATATGCTTTATTTTGCCTCCTCAGCCTCAGTTTCCCACCTGTATCATGAGGGACTGGTCCCGAGGGCTTTTCGAAGGGAAGTTTCTAGCTTTGGGAATTCTCCACTCCTTTCTTGTTCCACCCATCTGGTCTCCTATATCAAGGAGCCTGAATATCTGGGCGGCATCCTTAAGTGGCTCTGGGCCCTCAAGAGCTTTGGTTAAGGGGTTCCTGAGGTTAGCAGTGAGACAGCCACCAGGATCTGTCTATGATGAGAAGTCCCTGGGTGGTCTCTGTTGGGTGGGCCCAGCTGTAGCAGCCCGGGCAAGAAGCAGCCTTGCCAACCAATCCCTCCTTTACAACCATGCTGGGAGGGACCTGCAAGGGCCTGTGGGTGGTGTTCACGTATGGGGGGGGATTTCTTTTTAAGAGACAAGGTGGGTGGAATGGGGGAAGCCAGCTGGCTGTGGGCTCTATTTCTACTGACAAGGCTTTACCCTGTAGGTGTGAGGAATTCCAATTAAATATGCAGCCTATTTGTCTGTGTGTGGGAGAGGGTTTGCTGGAGGGAGGGGGATGGAGGCAGCGTCTCTGCGGCATACCAGCAAACCAGAAATTAGCTCCGTTCATCACAGGCACACGGGGCTTCCCTCAACCCTCCTGTGCACTCGCAGGAGTCGCAAGAAGGAGACAGACAGAGGAAGCTAGAGAGAGAGGTTGGGGAGGCGGGTTCCCGGCTGGAAGGGCTTCCGGAATTTCTGAGTGGGCAGGAAGGATTGCCCGACTCCTTGGCTCTTGGGGGTTTTCCGGATGCTGGCAGCTTGCTCCTCTGGGGCATCTGTCCCCACTGAGGAGGATGGCCAGGGTGGTCTGGGCGCACTCCCGGAAGGGTCTCTGGTATACTTAGAGGACTATCTGTGGATGGAGCAGCCACCACTAGCCTAGAGGACCTACCTCCTCCTCTATCTCTATTCCAAGCAGCATGGGGGGGGGCTCAGTTGGGGTAATGGTTTCTCTGCAGAAAACACCCCTAAGCTGCTGGTTTGAGGATCATGCAGAAGCACTTTAGGGTTACACAGGCCCCCAGGAACTGATGTGAACCTTTTCTTTCTTGTCCCTCGGTTCTCTTATTACTCATAGACAGACAGAGGAAAACGAAGTGCTTTCAGGACTACAAAGACCAATCTACATTGAGCCTGTCTTTTGATAGTAAGTTCACATGGGCTTTGAGGAGGTTTGCGTGATTGTCCGAATCTAAGACATTTGATGACCAGCAAGCATGGCCACCGGGATGGTGGGCTAACCTAGTCATTGCCTTTCTTAGTCTTAACCATCAGCCATCAAACCACTGGTCTTCTATTCAGACTGCCACACTACCATCTTACACCCCACCTACCCATTTCTCTATTGGTCAGTGCTCTGCAAATTTGTTTTCCCTTAAGGTTGCCTCTCTCCCTATCTGCTTCCCCCTACTCTAAATTCACAGCTTATTCCCCAAGGGATGAAAACACAATCATGTGGCCACCTAGGAAGCAAAGTAGCTGGGTTGATACAAGGGGCTGTTTTTCTGACCAAGGCATCGGAGATGTTGGTTGAGTCATCCCATGCTAGCAAGCGCCTCCCCTTCTGAGATGCCCCAATGTGGAGCCTGCTGAGCATGGAAGAGTTGCCGAGTGGCTTCACACCCCCTGAAGGATGGCATGTGGGCACAACCAGGATAGCTGGGAAAGGGTACCGGGGAGCCGAGGCTGGCAGAGCAATGGGATGAGTGTTGGCAGGATGGAGAATAGCTCCATTGAGGTCTGGGCTAGAAGGAGAGGGCTAAAAAGGAGGCCATTGCGCAGCTAAGTGGGCTGGGTCAGAGCCACCAGCGGGTAGCCGGGAAGGAAGTCGGGTGCCAATCATCCAAGGAGGAGTACAGACAACAACCTCTGTCCTACCTTCCCTGTGTGCCTCCTTCCGTTTCCGTCCGTTTCATCTCTGCTGAACCCCTCCTTTACTCCCCCATTCTCCCCGTACCCCAATCCGGAGCATCTCCCACATCTACAGGGTGGGAAAGGGGCTTGGCTGCCTCAGGGGAGCCTCCTGGAGCAGAGAAGCCATTTCAGAAGATGCCCTGTCCGGGTTTTGAGTTCAATGCCCACAAGATGAGGAGCCTGGGTCATCCGGGGAGGTGTGCCTGCACTAGACAGTCACTGCATCCCCTTTGTCCCTTGTCCCTCACTTGGAAGAAAAATGAAATACAGGTAGCAGCTTAGAGAGGAGGGTTAAAGTAGAGGTTGGACAGCAAGGAGATGGAGGGGACCGGAGGAGGCCAAAAGCAGAGGACTTGGAGAGGTGAGGTATTTCCACGCTGGTAGCACTGGGTTATATGTAAGTTATCTTTGAGAAGAGAGGCAGTCCTTCCCCGGAGCAGATGCTTGTGGGAAATGCAGGAGAGACAATAGTGAACTGAATTCAGACACAGGCCAAGGAACCTTGAACTCATCTTGAGTCCTCTTCAGTGGATGTAAAGAACACTCTGGACCATGAGATGGAGGGACAGTGCTATGGCACTTCCTACACCCGTTTCCCAAGCACCTGCGACATGTGATTCTGTGTGTTATATGGGTCCCACAGATGACATCAGCACTCCCTCTAGGAACTCACTGACGAAAGAAAAGCATCTCTGGGGAGGGAGACATACCTCCTCATCTCTTTCTGCTGCCCAAGATGTGAGCTAAATGGTACCCGCCCTTGTTTTAAGGGAGAAAGAATTTACTTTGACTCATATGAAAGAGGGTGCAGCCCCATCATGGGAAGGAAGGCCTGCCAGTGAGAGTGGAAGGGGTCAGTGGCATGACTTTTTCACGTCTCCGTGGGGCAGGAGGCAGAGAACTCCGGTTGGAAATGGGACTAGACTATAACCCCAAACAATCTAGACCTAGGGACCACCTCTACCAGCCTCATCTCCTACCCGAAAGGTTCCACAGCCCCCCAAAACAAGTGTTGAAACAGCAGCTTATGGTAGAAGATATTTTACATCCAAACTATAATATTCTACCCCTGATCTGCAGGGACCAGAACGGATGAGCCCTCCAGGACTGAGATATTTCTTCAAGCCCAGCCTCAAGCATGATAGAAGAGGGGTAGGAGGGTATGATCCTGCCCCTTGGCAGCACTTCCCAGAGGGAAGCCCCCACGGCTGGGCTAACACTATCCTGCTGAATGATTTTAGGAATGACTGCAATCCTGGGTACACGGAAGAGGGTACCTTAAGCCGCAGGTAGGATTTGTACTGCATTGGGGAAGTGGTGGGTAAGGCCTTTCTAGACTCTGAGGATTCCTTGAACCAGAGTCAAGGATGGACAGGGAGGAGGCTGGCTTTGCAGGGCCCTCATCTTGAAGACGATGAGCAGGCATCTGTCGGGGTGACATTGGACAGGGTCTTCCTGCAACAACCTGAAGACAACTGGGAAAGGGATTCCCCCGCCAGGTTGCACCCAGGTCCTCTTGTGTTGCTGCTACAGCATGATTGTTACTCGGGAGCTGGGGACAGGGAAAACATGAATGGCAGAGGTGCTCCAGGTCCCCAGGTCCTCTTGTGTTGCTGCTACAGCATGACTGTTACTCCGGAGCTGGGGACAGGGAAAACGTGAATGGCAGAGGTGCTCCAGGCCCCCAGCCTCCGTCTTGAGCAGGAGGAGAGAACCCGGCCACTAGGTGTTTTCCAGACTCCAGGCGCTAGGGATAACCTTGTAGGAGGGAGGGAGAATCCAATTAGACACGCAAGGCTGGGAGCTGTGTGTTGAGTGGGCAGAACTTGCTTCTTGCTTTCTGGCTTCCCTGGCCCTCCGTGGGATGTGACAGCTTGGCTCCCTCATGGCAGCCCCTCTTGTCCTATTTTCCTCTGCAATCACTGTGCTCTGACCACCACCCCATCTAACCTGGAGCGGGGTGGGTGCGGCCATGACAGAGTGAAACTCTGAGTCAGCCGCACCCCAAAGGGAATGGCCACCACTGTCCTTCCTCTTCATTTGCCTCTAACTTTTGGTCGGGTGCTGCTTCCTGCTTCCCTGGGAGTTCCGTACCCATTCTTCCCCTCTCCATTTCTCTGAACTTTGCAGCAAGTGCCTGTTTCATCCCCTCTACTTGGCCTCGACACAAATAGTGACAAAGTGACCTTGCTCCTTCTGGAACCATCATCCCAACTGTCCCTAGCAGCCAACTAGATGAGTTACTGTCTGAGCCTGGACCTTCCTGCCTCCAAGATCTCCCCATTTTACTCACCGAGGGACACCGTAGAAGACACCTAAACATGTTGGTAGCAAGTGGCTTACTGTGACCTCCTCAAGTCTTCAATAGCTGCTCCCCCCCACTTGAAGACCCGGGGAGGGGAGGAGCCTGTTGGTGGAGCTGGGCCTGGGGCTACTGTGATGGGTGGGCCTGTGCAGCAACCTTCCTCCCCGGCCCCTGGGTAGAAGGTTCTGGAAGTATTGTTTGGTTGGATGCTGAGTACCAACGCAATTTCCAAGCCTCTTGACGGTCTACCTGGCCCTTCTCTTTCAACTCTGCTGAGGCTATCTGATGGAGGCATTTTTAGGGACGGTAAGATCTGTGGTTAGTCTTAGCACCCCTCCAAGAGTCAGGGCTCACCACTGCCCAGGTACTGATTCCTCTGTCATTCCATTACAGGCTGTCCTTAGAGGTGTGAGGAACTCCAATTAGACATTCAGCCAGCCTGCCTGTGTGGGGGCCTGGGCTGTGGGGGAGGCTCCGTTGAGCTGGTGAGGTGACTAATCCTCACACAACACCAATTATGAGCCTCTAGGGAGGAGATGTGGGAAGGTGAGGGGGGGGTGGGGGAGGCAGGGACGTGGGAGGAGGGGGTTTCCTCACCCAGTTATCTGCCTCTGGGTAAATATGCCTTTGGTGGTGGCCAGAGTGTGCACTCCTCAGAAATCGGAGGCACAGGGACTCAGCTTCCTCATAGAAAGGGCCACACCCTGTGGTGGGGTCTAAGGCACCCCATGTTTGGATTCCCTTAATGCTTAATGCACTCCTCCTCACAACTCCAAGGTGGCCCCAATTTCCCCCAAAAAGGATCTGGGCTACAGAAGCCAGGGACATATCAAAAGTCACTTAGCTAAGAGGTGACAGGGTCGAAAGGATGTGTGACTCTTAAGGCCACTGTGTTTCATGCCGTCAGAGACCGCAAGACAGGAGCTCTGAGGGTCTCAGCAGAGGACCTGAGTTAGAGGCCACAAGTGCCTCCTGACCACCCCCCTGTTCTGTGGGGAGACTAGACACTCAGGGAGATAGCGAGCTAGGGTGGGCCCTGGATCCCCTCCCCCACTCTGCTTGCCCATTCTGAGCAGAGTTCTTGGGAATCTGGACAGTGTCTCTACTGGGATGTGTATCTGTTTGGCTTAAACATCCCCAGGCCTGGGCCTCGCACTAGGAAGGGCCAGGAGAACCAAGTCTCCAAGCAAAGAGATTCAGCCTGCTCTTAAAGTTCAGCAGCCAATGTAAGAGGTACTGAGGGGCCCAGAGGAAAACTGAATTGGCTCACTGGGCTTGGGAGAGGCTGGATTTGAACCCTCATCTGGAGCAGAGTGAAAGGAGATATGCCCTTAGGGGAGGAGACAGATTATCAGAGAAGGCAGGGGGGCTGAGGCCTCCATAGAGCCATTCCAGCCCTTGTCCCTCCGTCTCTGCTAAGAGCTCAGGCCAACAAGAGACAGGCCCTTTATCCCAGGACACCCCGTTAACCCAAGAGAAGGGCAGGGTTCAGAGCTTTAAAAAGCAGCAGATGTACCCTTGAAGAGGACTGACTGGGCACGGCACCAGGGGAGTCTCCAGGGAGTCCTGCCTTTTTCACCTGGAGGTGGGGAATGTATTATAATCTCCTTCCTGGCGATCATGTTCACTGGGGCAAAAGCCCTTGTTTTCTAGACCTTTCCTGTAAAGTCTAGGGCAGCCCATGCCTTGAAATCCATTTGTCCAAGGCTAGAGAGATGGCTTAGTGATTAAGAACATGCGCTGCTCTTCCAGAGGACCTGAGTTCGATTGCCAGCACCCACATCAGGCAGCTTACAAACTGCCTGTAACTCTCGGACCAGGGCATCGGATCGTTCTAGAGTCTGGGAACCTATGCATTCATGGAAACATACCCACTGCCCCCACATACACGTGATTAAAAACAAGATACATCTTTGTAAGAAATCTGCTTGTCCAGAGGAGTCTCCTTTTATAAGATGGAAAAATACGCAGCAGGGGGAACTGAGGTGTTTGTGACCCTTCCTGAGCCCCAGTGAAGGGTTTGGGGGTCTGGCATAACATTTCATCAGTCTATTAAGGCCTCTTGAGAAGATTCTTTTGAGAAGAGAGGCAGATCCCCAGGGTGGGAACTTTTGGGCCTGAAGGCACAGGTCCACCCTGCTACATGTCTACTGGGTGATTGGGACCCTTCAGCTTGAGAAACATGGATGGAGGCCACTCAAGGGTTGGGTACATTTCGCAGGTCCCAAGCATGGTTCGCATGCATTCCCTGTGGTTTCTCCCTTGGCATGGAGCAAACACTTCCTTTGTGTAATGCTGCCCTTAAGTCAGCTTACAGCTTTCTGGGGTAAACATCCCCCTACATCTTCAGGCAAAGGAACCACCCAGATCAAAGTCTGAGAACTTCCCCCCAAAGCCTCATAGAGAGCAAGCAGCAGTGATGGGCATCAAACCCAGGTTTGTGTTTTCTGAGAGGACAGCCCTTGACCCTGGGATGGTAAGTAAGTAAGTAGCCCCTTGCTCCCCCGTTGGGCTGACCTCCAGTGCATTGTGGGACAGAGTTCCCAGAACCCCCACTGTTGGGTGGGGTACATAGTGGGGCATGACGATCCCTTTACGGCTCTTTGCCTTGCCCACAACGTTGGGTTGCCCTCAGAAGGTGGGCGGCCTCTCTTGTCAGTCCTGTGGGGGAGTTAGGAGTTCCGGGAGAATAGGAGGGGGCCGGGGCTGGTGGAAACTCCCAGGCACGGGGCTGGGAGTGGGGAGGAGAGACACGGGGGTGGGTCCCAGGCTTTTCCCCACACTTCCTCAGGGATCGCTTTACATAACCAGGCCTGCTTAGTCACTGCTTTTTACTTTTTTTTGGAAACAATTTTCTCAGCATCACAGCTCCCCGTCTCCATCCCTTACTAGTCACCGGTGCTAGGGAAGTCCCTTTTCTCCTGTTCCCTAGGCAACCCAGCACATTTGCCTTTCAAATGCTCCAAGGCCTGGGCGGGGGTAGGAGTTCCCTCCCCCTGTACCCAGGCCTCCCACACAGCCACTCCTGCCTCAGTTGGCATGTCAGGTGGCCCAACTGCTAGAGACATCTGGGGAGACCAAACTCTTGTGCCTGGCTTTGGACCTCTTTCTGGACCCTCTGGCTTAGGGCTGCAGCCCCCAGTCCATGTCTGGAGATGCCCATATGGGCCTTTGGATGTGGCTGGCTCTCCTCCTCCTTCTCTTGGGGAGAGAAAGCAGGCCAAGAATCCCCGTGAAAGCTGGGCCTGTCTCAACAAGGCCCAGGGGACTTGAGAACTGTAGAGGACATGCTGCCTGCCGTTACACCTCAGGTGAAGGGCCCACCTAGGGTCTTGGCTCCTTTCCTCTCAGTGTGGGGAGTGGATGTGGAGTGCGGTCTACTTCCTTCCTGTCTCTCGAAACTGCCCACACAGCAGCCTTGCCTACACAGCAGTGCCCGGTGGCTTGGGAAAATTAGACGTGAGGTACTGGGGTGGCAGTAGGTCTCTCACCAGGTAAGAAACACAGGACAGAGAATTCAGAAGGTCTGACCTTGGGTGCCTCTTCCACGTCCTTACAAAAGGCTACTGTGTGTGTGTGTGTGTGTGTGTGTGTGTGTGTGTGTGTGAGAGAGAGAGAGAGAGAGAGAGAGAGAGAGAGAGAGAGAGAGAGAGAGACTGCAGGCTCATGCATGTGAGAGTTGGTTGTCTCCTATCACCTGGGTCCTAAACTTAGATCACTGGGCTTAGCAGCTTTATCCGTTGAGCCATCTCACTGACCCCCTTAATGCTGGCTATGATACAAGGTGCTTGAGGCTATGAATTAAGGGCACTTGTGTGAAGTATAAAAACAGAGATGCAGTATCACAGAACATAGAATCCATTTGCTCCTTCATTCAACACACATTTGTGGGATGCCTACTACGTGTTAAGCGTTGTCCAAGTCCTTAAAACCATTAGATCCAGACCTCCGCCTCTAGTGGTGTGGAACTATCCAGGTCATCCATCAGGGTGTGTTAGAGAGCAGTAGTCTTCACACAGGGACCTTGGACCACATGTGGAAAGTCTCACACACTCCCAGAGGGATGCTAATTGGGGGCAAGGTCTTGAGAATGTCTGGGAACCGTGAACAGATTTCAGCAGCTTGGCAAATGAGTAGAAATGGAAAACTTCTACAAATCTGAGTAACTTTGAATGGGTGCTTTGCTAGGGCAGTGGTTCTCAGCCTTCCTAATGCTAGGACTCTTTAACACAGTTCCTCATGTTTTGGTGACCTCTCCCCCAACCATAAAATCATTTTGTTGCTGCTTCAAAACTATAATTTTGCTACTGTTGTGAATTCTAATGTAAATATCTGATAAGCGAACCCTGGAATGGGTCATTCTACCCCCAAACGGGTTGAGACATGCTCTAGGGAGAAGATGACACTTGTATCTCATTGGGGTCTCTGATTCTCTAGAAGGTTCTCTAGAGGCTAACCCAGTTTCAGAAGTGGCGGGGCTTCTGGATGCCCTAGGAAGGAAAGCTATTCCCTCACACATGGAGCTTAGCATCCACTGTGGGGACCTGGCCAGTCTTCCAGATGTCCCAGTCTTGCCGCAGCCAGGGCCATAGGGAAGGCCTGCAGCCGTGAGGATCCCAGGAGATTCTCAGGCCCAGCCTCTGTTAGGGAGCCCTGGCAGGCATCTGTTTCATGAAGGAGACCTACTGAAAAGGGCACCCCAAAATTGCGGGAGACCATGTGAGCTGGGCTCCTGCTGTTCTGGAATTAAGTTTGGGCAACCAGATTCTCAGGATCTATCCCCATCCCCCACCCTGATTCAAACCTTTCTACATTTTGATGTTTCCCAGTCCTTTCTTGAGACTAAGCAGGACATATAACTGTTTTCTTGGTCTTTCAAGTTGCCGTCCCACCGAGGAAAAATGGGTACGGCTATCCTGTCAGGTTAGAAGGTATCGATGGCACACACTCCTTAGGTGTCCACAGGACCAGTTCTTCCTGCCCATCGGCTTCTGTTTGCACTATCTCTATGGGTACTGACACTTGGATGGACCGCATAAGTCTCACAAAGGCAGGGCCCCCAACAACAGCCCCTTAGATGTCCTCGCAGGCCCCCAGCAGCATTTTTGGGGCTGGTGGTCAGGTGCCCAGTGAGAGGCCTGTAGGTTCCAAGCAGACCAGAATCTATGCTTCAGGCATAATTCAACTAGGGCCATGTCCTTTGAGCAAGACCTCAGCCTGGTGCTCATCAGGCTGACAAACTATCA